CTCTCTCTCTTTCTCTCTCTTTTTTTTTCTCTCTCTCTTTATTCTAAAATCTTTATATATTTCGTCTCTATAAAATTCAATAATAAAAGTTATACATTTTTATCTAATTAAAAACTTAATATCATTTAATTATAATTCTAATTCTAATTCTAATGAAATCAATCGAACATATTATATTTCATCTAACGAATATCAAAATGAAATAATAATTTCCATTGTCGTTTGTCTTTCTCTCTCTCTCTCTCTCTCTCTCTCTCTCTCTCTCTCTCTCTCTTTCTCTCTCTTTCAAAAATATAATATATATCTTGAAATTTTTCTAAATAAATATATTCTTAATAAATCTTAATATATATTATCTCTATATACGTATATTTCCAAATAAAATCTTATATATCGTTATCTAATCCTATATCGATTTTAATATCGCTTAATACTTATTCTAATAAAATCGATCGAATTTATTTGATATGAAGAATATTTTTCAATAAAATCATCGTCAAAAATCTTTCTCTCTCTCTCTCTCTCTCTCTCTCTCTGCCTCTCTCTGTCTGTCTCTCTCTCTCTCTCTCTCTCTCTCTCTCTCTCTCTCTCTCTCTGCCTCTCTCTGTCTGTCTCTCTGTCTCTCTTTTATCGAAATCTTCATTGTTATTCAATTAAACAAATAATTCTTAATATTCACCACGTAATTCTAATTATAATTCTAAATTTTTGATACGATTATTAAAATTACGCGATAAAATAATAAAAGCTTTTAGGATTTAATGATCGTCGTCGTCACGTAATTTGGACGTTCGCTTTGTTACGACTTATCCGTACGACTGAGGAAAGAGAAAGATGTTAAGAGAAGAAAAACAAAAACCACGTCTCGTGTTTAATAGAAAAACAGATGTAAATATGTGTGTGTGTGTATATATATATATATATACATACATCGGTTAAACCTTCGATCGTTGAATGTTATTGAAACATTTCTTATTATCAAAACAAATAGGTGAACGAAAAAACTTAAGGTTAAGACGTATTAGGTAACCCGTATCTATGTATATAAATATATGTATATATATATATATATATATATATATACATATGTATTATTTATATAACCAAAATAAAAAGCTAATAATAACGAATCGAATGTTAGTTGGTTTGTTTGAAAATTATATCGTAAGGACTAAAGAAGGTCAATATGTTTATCCTTACTTATGTATATATCGCGTGAGAAAGAGATGAAAGAGAGAGAGATAGAGATGAAAAATAAAGAGACAAAAATAAAGATTTGTCCTTTACACGTATATATAATATTTCACGATAGATGAATGATCAGTTCGTTGTTTGCAATCGGACTGAAAGGAAGTTTAATATTACTGTAAGTTTATATTAATTTAAAATATTCAATTTAATTTAAATATTGAAATATTTATATTAATAAAATAATTTACATATTATACTTATATAAAATTTATATTATATACATATCATTCTATTTTTATTTTTAATTCCATTTTATCATTCTCTTTCACACTTTTTCTCACTCTATCTTCGTTTCCCATTTTTTCCATCTTCATAATTTCATCTTAATCATTAGATAAACAAAAAGAAATTGTTCTTCGTATTTATTTAAAAAATATAAAAAAGAAAGAAAGAAAGAAAAAAAAAAAAAAAAAGAAAAATGAAACTAAAGACACTTCCAAAGGCATAAATTTTCCAAGCAATAATATACTATGTCTATATACATATATATATACATATATATATATATATATATATATATATATATATATATATATAACATTGGAACGTTCAGAACCCTTCATTAGATCGAATAAATTCAGAGAAGAAGAGAAGAAGAGAAAGATGGATATATGTATTTCTCAGTAAACAAAAAATAAAAAACAAAAAAAAACAAAAAACAAAAGAAAAGAAAAGAGAGAGAGAGAGAAGAATGTACAAGTGCCCTAAGAAAAAAGAAGCAAGAAGAAACATCATCCCCTTTCCTACCCGCCCCACCCTCCTTTCCCTCTACCATGCGAACCCCATCGTCCGACTTCACCCAGAAATACAAAAATAAAAATAAAAATGTCGACAGTAAGAAAAAATTAGTTTTATCGTCAAAGATGCGTTACGTCGTTTCGTCGTATTATACGATGTTACGTACACAGTCATGATCTCTCTCTTTCTCTCTCTCTCTCTCTCGTTTTCTCTCGTTTTCTCTCTCTCTCTCTCTCTCTCTTTCTCTCTCTCTCTCTCTGTTTCTGTTTCTGTCTCTCTCCCTCTCGAGGGTAGCCGCGATGCGTGAAATTGTCGGCGTTCGGACGATCGGCTTCTTTCCGTCGACATTTACGAGGGAATTAACCGCGAGTAACGAATGACCGCGGGGTGGACGTGCGCACTGAGCTTCGCATTTCCGGTTGGGCGTCATCTTTCTCTCATTGCCAACACTATAACCACTAAAACCATCCATTCTCTACTACGATCCCGTAGAGAAACCTATTTTCAAAGG